AATGAGTACCAAATTAGATAGGTGTGAAAAGAGCACCGAAAAATAAGACAAATGAGCACTAATTGAAAAAAAGATATTAAAGAGATAAATCAGTTCTACTTTAAAAGAATCAAAGTATTATTCGGATATATACAGATGCTAAGTTATGACAAGCTCAACTCAAATTGTATAATCTCATTCCTTTTTGTAAATTATGGTACACAAACGAGTAACGTTGTATATATACAATAAGCTTGAGAATTACAGTAATACATATTTCTGTGAATAACCATAAAATTCCAGACAAAGAATATTAACTTTTCAATATCGTCCAAACACTCGATAAAGCTAATCAAGGGTATGGGTATGAGTGCGCGAGTAGATCTTCTCCTTACACCTACACCTACACCCTGCTTACTAGTTTCTCCACTCAAATCATGTATATGTCCAACTGACACGAAGTTATATTTATGCAAACATTCGGTTGGCTTAGCAATATTACTGAAACATTATGAATTAACTGATAAAACGCGTTCAGAACTTTTAAGTAAACGACGAGGAAAAGGTCTAGCAAAAAAGTACAATCTGGTTTACTATTATAAAATGGACTTTTCATTTTTTTTTTGTATATTGCTTAAGTACTCATATCTATTATGTATCCTATTTGTTATTTCTTGTTATTAATATAAAAATTTTTTGTTCTTATTTCACATGTTTGAATTTGCTGCTCAATTGTCTTTTTTTGTGTACTCAAAAAGTGAGTACACTCTAGAATCGGTCAGTGTGTCCGGCCGTCCGGCCGGCCGTCCGGCCGTTAACACGATAACTTTTGAAAGGAGAGTCCGATCACGATGAAATTTTCTACACAGTTTAGTCTTAACAATATCTCGGTCGAGTTCGAAGATGAGCATGATCGACCGAGCCATTCGTGAGTTATTGCAAAAATAGTCATTTTTCCCTATGGCTTCCTATGCGAAAATCGACCGATCCCAGCTTTCGTAAACAACTTTTCCTATCATAGTTAAATAAAACCCCAACTATTATATACCATTCGATAGAGAATTTCACGAGCTACAAAATGGTATATAAAACATAAAGAAACAAGAAAGCTAACTCACCTATTGCAAAGATAATTAAACGGAATTTGGTTTTGTTCTTGTCCACGCTCTAATTGATCTACAATTAGAGCTCTATCTTCCGATCATACAGATGATAGTTCGAGGTTTTCTGGGGTGGAGAACTCGAATATGTGCTCCATTCGCCTCGAAATTCCATTGGTTGAGCAGTAACCAATAGCAATCAAGTTATAGGAAAAAAGACTTTCTTAGGGTAAATCAAGACGAAGAGTTCAAATCTGAGCTGTATTTACCCCAAATCCTATTGGTTGAGCAGTAGCCAATAGAAATCAAGTGTTTATAGAAAAAGTTTGCCAGGATAATTTTTATGTCTCCACATTCTAGGATGACTCATCTGCCTCATTCACTTTTTGAAGTACACATAACTCTCGGATTTAAATCCGAGGTTTCCACATTTATTTTATACTCAAAACACATATCGTCCTTGCTCTCGTCTCTTTGAGAACGGTTATCGCAATGTCAGTTAAAGTGCGCTGCCTTATCAATCTATAGTAGTAGACAAATTGTGACTCAAGTACAAATAAAAAGCAACATAACGCTCTATGAATATATCAGTTGTACGTACTATAGCTGGAACATAAAAAAAACATACTCAAATGTAGATCAACAAATAAAGAGATAATCAAAAAAGTCTAGACTTGTTGACACATGGCGATCTTCATGTGAGAAGGAGTAGACATGAGCTAATCTGTTCCCACCATTTTTTACATCACGTGTGCGAACATTTTGAGATCTTATCAAAAACCATTTTTGCTAATTTTTAGAAGGCAAATTTTTTTTTCAGTCTCTTTCTGCCAGGCACACTGGTTATCAAATTGAAAAGCCCTTCCATTTCTATCAACTATCGAGAGACCTAATAGTAAGAGGAAAGAAAAACTACTGAGAAGAATCTATATGATAGAAAGTAAGGATATATATATAGATAAAATACTAGGAGGAATCAACGTTGAAACCTGTTGAATTCTTTCCATTAGGATAGATCTGACTGATTTTCCTCTTTGTATCTGACTTTGGTCAGTTGGTTTCATTTTTCGATTAACTCATTCAACATCCTATGAAAGCTATCTGCTTAAGTTTCACTTCAGACTTGAAGGCAAATTGACCAACCGGTCGGATTTTATCGTTTTATTTTTGTTTCAATTTTTCAGCCAGAAAAGTCAAACTGTTTTTGCTTGTTTTTATCGATTCTTCTTTTTTAGCGATCTAGAAAAATGAGCCAGATATTCCTAGCTGACAAATTTCAATATAATTGTCATCATCGAAATTCTATTTCTAATTTTTGATCGATCTATTTTCTATCATATGATCAGAGATCTTCGACCATAACTCAACAGATTGATCATAGACAAGAAAAGTTAGTAGCCATTTAAAACTCAGATGCGTTCAAAGCTAGAAAATGTTGAATTCGTCCTCAATTACATTTAACTGCCTATTCAAAACTCTCCACAGATAGCAGTTATCACTTTCTCTTTACATTTCCTAAACTTCAAAATATATTTTCATTTTCTTGTGTAATATTTGTTAGTTGATAGCTTGATACAAACCGAAAGGTATTATAACTTTTGAAACAAAAGATCTCAATATTTGAACTTAACTTCAATAATTGAACATTGTGACTGATGTTTTCGTCTTCAACGACAGTGATCACTTTATAAGTGTGAATGCGGGTGAAGAGAAGAAACAAACTCACACCTACACCAAAATTTTCTGAGTCCACATTTGTAAAGTGCACAAAATTTTGATCCTAATCGATAGGTTTTACGTCTTCGGAAACACTTTGAAGGAAGTGAAAATTAAACCAAGATTTTGTTGAAAAATTTTGTGTCCATCCATTAGACATATTGGTCAGCGGTTTTTATTGTTAATATTTTAAACATCGAAAAAACGAAATTCTCAAAGGCTATTAATAGGCTGAGAGAGTAAAACAATATAAACTTTCCTTAAAACCGAAGAAAATAAATATTTTATATGAAATCATCGAAAAATTTTCTTTTTTTCAAAAAAACCTTCGTCCTGAATGAATTAATCTACATTTGATTATTAATTAATAAATATAATTTATTTAGATTTCAATATAAAATTTTAATTGAAATGATACTGAAAATAGAATTAAAACAAATTTTTTTATGTTTGGCTGTTACTATCGGAACATCATCATTAGCATATCAAATTTGGTTATCAATCAATAAATATATTCATTCTTGTCGTCGTAAAAGTATTTCCTTTAAAAATAATGTTTATATTAATGGAATGTCATCTTCTTTTCCATCAAATTGTTATCGTCAAACACAAATGCGCGACATGTTTATTAAAAATTATTGTCATGGTCAAACAAATATTATTCCAAAAGATTTGGATTTTATTCATCGAGTTTTTTCTGCAACATTAATTGAAACATGTTATGTTAATTTACCAGAAGATCATTTATTTATTCGAATGAAACGTCAACAATATACAGAATATGTCAAAAAAACAATGTTAACTATGGCATGTGAATCTGCAAGATATGCTATTGATAATTCAAATGGATTAAAACTCGATCAGATAACCCATCTCGTATTTGGAACGATGACAGCAACAATTGGTGCTCCATCAATGGATATATACATAACAAAAGAACTTGGTCTTAATCCAACAGTAAAACGTTTGAATGTCGAAGCAATGGGATGTTTAACAGGTTTTCGTTTAGTTGGTTTATGTCGTGATATAGCACTTCAATCAGAAAATAATTTTGTTTTATTAATTGTTTGTGATATTCGATCAGCATTAGGAAATCAATTGACACCATTTATTCCAATGGAATCAATTGATAAATCAAATGTTATTATTGCTGCTCTTTTTCGTGATGCATGTGGTGCAGCTATATTCTCACAAAAAATTCCAAAACAATTCTGTACCGTTATAGATCATCGTTCGGCAATTATTGAAAATACATTAGAATTGGGTCGTTTAAAAGAATTTAATGATTCAAGTCTTCATTTATATTTAGATAAACAATTACCATATGCTGTTTTTAATTCTGTACCAAATATAGTCAATAAATTACTTGAAGAATATCAAATAGATATAAATATATGTCTATTTGCAGTTCATACAGGTGGACCGAAAATAATTCGGGGAATTCAACAATGTTTAAATCTTCAACCTGAACAATTATGCGCATCTTGGTTTGTTATGATTAATTATGGAAATCTTAGTGGAAGTAGTAATCTTGTTGTTGTTGAACATATTCGTCGTTGGAAATATTCATCTACTAAACCTGTTTGTAAAAATGTCATCTTTCCAGAAGACTTCAATCAATACAAATATATAATTGGTCTTTCATTTGGACCTGGACTCGCTGTTGAATGTGTTTTATTTGGATTAGAATGAAACATTTCATCTTATTTCATCTCTATGTCTTGTTTATTTTTCTTTTTTTTATTACTTTTTCCTGTTGAATAAATAATAATAACTTTTCAATTGAATCCTTCAATTATTTTTTTCTCTGCATTTAACTTCTTTCGCTATAGAGGATGCATATATCAGTATGTGTCTTCTCTTTACTCAAATTTACATTCATACCCTTCTAGGAAAGAAAATAACGTCTTCTCTATTGTTCTTCAAATTACTTAATACTTTATCGTAGGTTAAAAATGATTTTCGACAGACCGAATGCTTTCTCGTTCATTTTATAAGCTCAACAAAAGTGTCGTGTCACATCGAGAAACAATATCGATTCTCGTTACCGTCTTTTATGAACATCCATTTTCAATTCTAAGATTTTAGTTGTCGACATCAACAACCTCTTATATTCAGTAGGATGATAAAAATAATAAAAGTAATATATTATCCGTATTTCCATATTGAGATGAATACCATCACTATAATAGACTCTGGAATAATCTATAATAGATAGAGAATGAAATAAAAGGAATTAACATAAACTAATAATAAACTACCCGATGATAAATCGTATAAACTAATATAATTTAACTGAGAGATAGTTAGCTAAAGAAAAAGAAAAATATTTATTTAACTTATTCAAAAGAATCATTAAAGTCTCACTCAGATACTAGAAATCTGTCGTTCAGAGCCATAACAAAGTATTAGGGAGAAATGGGAAATCTTTGTGCCGAGTACTATAATATTGTTTCTTTGCTTAAACTGAGTTGAAGACGAAATTTATAATGGTTCACATTGTCTAGGTCCTTATGAATTTCATCAATTGTCTGACAATTAGAAAGTAGGTGTGAACTCGAGCAAATTTTAGTGATATTCTAGGTAATGTGATAAATTTGTTTCAACAGTAAAAGGCGTAATATAATAGTAAATAATGACAACGGGTAGTAGCGCTATCAGTATCGCAACAGCTGTAGTCTTAGATCGTCAATTATTGGAATGATATTGGATATCGAACCTTTTTGTAGTTACAATGGAATGGTTGGAGGAGTTTAAATGATAATATATTTATTTCTTCTATTGTTGTAAAATGAAAAAAAAAAACTACACGTTAATTCAAACAAATAAATCACTATTAAAATCTAAAACAAATCATCGACATACCAAAGGAGAATCAACTCGATTGTCATTATTATTGCAACAAACGTCATGATTAGAATAATGATGTATCAATTTGATTGTCATAAAAGAATCTAATGTGTTCTTCATTCCTCAACGTTCGATGAGGCTTAACTTGCAGAGGACTCACGTTATCAGTCCACAAGAACTTGCTCAAAAAAGTCGAAAACGTTCCACTACGTAAAAGAATAGCATTAAGCGGACCAAGCTTTGTTGAAGTCCGATTATCTTTATAATTTTGGTTCACTTTACAAAGTTGTTCTTCGACTTCTGCATCGATCGTATTCTTGAGAACTTGAAATTGCTGTGTATCAATCTTGTGTCCTTGATCGGCAATCAATTCCAGAAAGATGACATATTTAGCTGGAAATACATCTAATCTTGGATACGACGCAAATTCACAAAAGTCGACCGGTATTCCTTGTTCTCTCCATTGACGAATAGTTTGTTGAATAGCATTCATTACATGTTGTTCATTTGTTTTCTCGCCAAATATATCCAAAAGAGTTCCAACACGATATGCGAGTGAAATGAGTGGAACTCTTGGAATCTCGACTGGTTCTTCTGGTAAAGCGACTAAGTCATCGGCTCGACAAAGAAATCTCGTGCAAATGATGACATCTCCCATTCTATATCGAACCAATCCGACGTCGGTTGTACAAACTAATTCATATCGATGTCCGGGTTCGATCTCTGAGATGAGCAGAGTTTTGGGTTGAGTCTAAACAAGAATTAGTATAGTAAAAGCAGACTAAAAAAGCATAGTTAAAGACGGCAATATAGCTTAGACTTAGAAGATACGATGAAATTCCCTGATTGAAACACTTTTTTCTAATCAAAAGATAGTGCTCATAATTCTGCTCCGATTTGATATACTATATTGCATGAATATAACTTTTTCCATGTTTTTGGATGACACGTAATTGTACAGTAAAATCAAGGACAAAGTGTAATTTCTTTTCTTTTTCAATTATTTTGACAGAACGTTTTTATTTCATCTATCAATGTTGTCTTTATTCTTACGTGACTCCAATTAATAGCTTTAGCCATTTCATTCCATAAATTGCAATGCTCAGAACAGCCGGGTATGAGTTGTGAGCAGAGAAGAGTCTGACAAGAAAGGTGCCGTTCATGAGAAACCAAAAATGCTGCTTAAGATGATGGCGGGGTTAAGTAGATGCGAAAGAGGGTTGACTGAGTCGGTAGTTTTGCAAAATAAAACAATCGATGTAACAAGATGCATTAGTGACGTTCTTTCAGTAGCTCTAAAATCCAGCAACAAAGTGTTAGGAAACAGCTGGACCAACAAGCAGAATAGTGCTAAACCTCGCACGAATCACCTGTGTCAAAAATGAGTTAGTAGAAAGCGCAGAAAAAAGGAAAATGTTGAAAAAAAGCATAATGATGAAGTAAATGCACAAGGAGAAAATAAAGATATTGAAGACGTCATATGAGAAAAACAGACAAAAGGAAAATGTTGGAAATGAATTATTTTATTAATATTAAATAGAAGAAGATTGTTATTCGATGATATGAAAAAAAAGCAATGGAAATGAAAAGCTAGTTTTAGAAATTTGAATTCTGTCTTCTATGAGTATGGGTGTGAGTATAGGTATTTTCTTGACTTATACACTTTCACTCATACATAGAGTCACACGGACCTTATTTCACGCTCCGAAACTACTACTGCTTTTTATTTTCCTTATCCATACATATGACTGAATGTTAAATACTTTCCTCAATCTTATACACATGTCCGATAATTTTTTAGAATATTCGACTTGAATACTACGTAATGTCCATTCGATCCGATCTTTGATTTTGTAAGTTTATGTGACATTTTCTAACAATAGACAAGATCAAATTTTATACAAATCTAGAGTTGGCAATAGATGAGAAACACAAGTGAGCATCAACTTTGCAAAGTTCTTCTAAATTGTGTAGAGGCAAAATAACTCATTTCAGTGAACCAACAGCTACACGTTTCTATAAGTCTACTCACGTCTTTCAACCTAAAATGTAATATTTATTGCTGAATACAAATGATATTCAAACTGAGTAAAAAAAAGTGATTTGAATGATATTCTTTTCTTTTCAATGTTTTTTCAAAAAATAAAATTTTTTGACAGAGCTCATTGACGTGTCAAAGATATCATTTCATAGAAACAACTTTTGACAAGTAAACAATGTCATTTAACTACATTTATTATGCTAATTAAGAATGTCATACTCATGCTTCTTGATCTAAAAATGTAACAGGCATCAGCGATCGATTCGATCAGGAAAAATTTTCGTGTCTTGGTAACTATTTCTAATGAAAAGCTGCAGAAAATCACGACTGTTTTTCTGTTCGATCACATAGTAGTGAAATGTATTCGCTCCTACTTTCATCGTAAAAAATCAAAACAAATATATTGCTTTTATTGTACAAGTTGAATTGCATTGTTTTTCATATTTTCTCCACCAGTGACCGATTTTCGTGAATTCTGAACCCCTGGAACTCATGAAAATGACATCTCAATGTAGTTCATTAAGATTAAAGAACTACTAGAATCCTAGGACTTTACGGAACCCTCAGATCTTATGGAACTGACGAAACTCTAAGAAGCTTCTTGGCTTCTTAGAGTTGAGTATGGATGTGAATGTTGGTGAAAGCAAAGGTGTGGGATTCGATGTTTGAACTATAAAATTAAATGAGTACTTTTCTGCAGAAGCAGTAATTAGAAAATAAAACTTGATCATACGAATACTAACTCAATCATGAGTCACTCATTCTGTGATGGAAACGTATAACTCCATCAGCTTTCATCAAAATCAAAGGAGAAGGGTATGTGATTCAAAAAGCAATACGTCAAGGTTACAGTCGGCGAGTTTTCAAGCAAGAATTCGTATCATTTCAACTCTTCAGAAAAAGTAATTCGTTTGCTAGCCGTTTAGAAAAAGTAAAAAAAAGCATTCCAATTGATGCACAAATTAATGAGATGAAGAATATCCGTACTTTATTTAAAAAAATGGTACTTTATAAAACAAAATCGGCTTCTCGAGTTTTCTTTGACTACTCCTCATGAAAACTTTCCATTTAATTTAAAAACAATGAACGTTCTTGCTCAATTAAATACGCTCTATTCTGAAGAAAACGGAAAGTGAAAGTTGTATTTAAAATTTGAATTTGAATTGCCTTACTTGTTGAATATCTTCTTCTTTAATGAATTCGAAAAATGCATGTGTTGGTAATAGAAAGTACTCGTCAGTATGAATACTTGCGATGACACCAAAAAATCCTTCACTTGCACCATAGGCGGGTGAATTAATTAATGGTAGCCGTTCTCCACAATAGAATTGTATATCGGCTTTGTACATATGAAAAGTGCTTCCTATCGCTGTCGAAACATAAAGTAGGGTTGGCCAAAGACGATGAAGAAGACCAGGAACATGCTTTTTCAAACATTCATTTCGAATATGTTGAGCTCGTTCCATTCGATATATCTCTCCTCCATGCTCGACAGTTACTTCGTTTAATCTTTGATTCAAGGTCGATATGAAGTCCGAATCAGAAATATTCTTTCGAACTAGTGAACTATGATCAAAATTGGCAAATGAAATACAAAGACTGATTTCTTCAAAGTAATTTTCAATGAGTTTGACTGTGTGGATGAGTCCTGGAGCAAAAATCACTGAGTATGAGTAAATATTCAGATTCGCAAGTGCAAAAACAAGTTGAACGAATATACTTGTCTTGAAATCAGTGTTTTCTTCAATAATATCCAATGTTAGGATATTACCAGTGGACATCATTGTGTGAGTTCGAGGAAAGGATGCAACAGCCGACAAATATTGACTAAATGGACCAATTGGTGTGCCGTCTTTTGATCTTGGAAACATCTCAGGCTTCTTCCCACTTTGCAAGAAGAATAGTCGTTGTTTAGGAGACCAATATGATGAAGAAGGCAATGATCTCCGTATAATATGAGATCCCAATCGTATTGACTCGTCAAATTTTCTCATTGTCATTGAAGTCGCGGGAAGGAGTTTGACCTTTGCCGTCGTTCCAGAACTTGTAGAAAAATAAACTATGTTTTCGGACGAGAGCAGGTTCTTCTCTCCGTCGAGAACCATTCGATCAATATAATCACGATAGTCTTCATAAGTTGTCAATGGAACTTTCTCTCGAAACTCATCTATCGATGCATATCCACCTTCTCTCGAAGCAGTACTGTGTGTCGAGAAGCATGAAATTGATCGATCCATAAAGAATGCACATGAGTGATTCTTCTGAAGAATTTCTTCCAATAGTTCATTGTTAGTAGTTTGAAAATTGCAAAGCGAGCTCTGATAGTACGACACAAATGGATCCGCGTCCAATCTTCGCAAGTTTGAATCCATTAATTTTTGAAGTTAAATAAGTGATTTTGATAAAGTTTCTGAGTAGCGTATAGAAGAGAACTGTTTTACCTAGTTATTAAAATATACTTTGTACTCTCAAGGTTATCACGTCATAAATGTTTTAATAAATACAAAGAACAAAGGAAAGATTAGAAAAAGACAAAAAAAAAGAAATTTCTATCAACAGACGAGTTATTTTATCTTAAATGTAGAAATAAATAAAAACGAACAACGTAGTAGTCTTTTCGCCGCTCCTTGAATCTCTCGAGTATCTCCTATCAAGTAAAGGATCAAGGCTAGAGCCCATCGGATCCGAAGTTTTTGGACCCGAATCCAGACCTGGTAGATAGAGAATTTTCAGGCTCGGGTTCGAGCAAGCCTGGGTAGAACCTGGATCGAACCCGACGGACTCTAATCGAGGCATAGCTTGTAGGCAAAATTCGACTAGAGCAACGAAAAATGGACGATGAACTCTGTTTTCTTTATATTTAACAAGTCAACATGAAACTTTTTCCCAAAATTTTGTGTTCTTTTTTAATTTGAATTTAATGTAATTTTTTTTTCTTTTTGAATTTTTTAAAGTCAAAATGATAAATTTATTGTTTTTAAGCGAAACGAAGAATAGTAAGAAAAGTCAAGAGAAGAAACAATAATTAGAAAAAAAGAGAATAAATATTAATAAATACATAAATAAAGTATTTGTAACGCGAGGCCTTTCAAATTATTTGTTTGTCAAGCGATGAATAATGTGCGAGGGTGTGGGTGTGGATGTGAATTAGTGAACTGCACCGGAATCGCAAAGACAAAATTTTCCGAAATCGAAGTTGGAATCGGAGTCGGAGTCGGATTTGGGAATCAGAAAGTGTGACTCTGGTGATCACTAATTGCAAGACACAAATTGTTGTTCATCATCATTTACAAAAATATGATGAAAAAAATTTCCCCATTCGCTTAATTTTTTATCCCTTCAGAATATCAAGCATTGATATGAATCAAATGTTGATAAACTGCAGAAAACTGTTTCGGAGTTTTCGAAGTCGGAGTCCGAAAAAATTTCTTCTCGGAGTGTGGGTGTGGGTATACACGTGGGTAGAGGGTGCGGGTGACAAGAAGAACCACACAGATACCCACACCCACCCACACCCGCACCCTAGAAAGTAGTGTTTCTGAAATATCAGTGTAGGCAAAAGGTTTTTCTCTAACGTAAGCTACACACAATTGATGTGTCCCATTATGTATTTTCATAATCGTTCATTCAGATTCGTTGGCCAAATCGAAAAAAACAAAACACATCGTCAGTTTTCAAAACATTATTCTAGTTTGCTAAAATTTCTGCCATTAGTAGAGGCCACTGAGATACATCGATAATAAAATTTCCAGCTCAAAATATTTCGATACAGACTAGATAAGACGAAAACAGAATATTTTAGTGTTTCTGATAACTATGGTCGAGTAACACACTGATGTGTTTGCGTTCCTTTTCATCCTTTTGTCGACATTAAGAAGCAAGAAAAAAAAGATGACGAATCGAATGAGTAATGACACAATTATTGTGCAAGCACATGTGCAAGAAAGCACATGATGAATACTTTTTATGTGACATCGAGAAAAAAACAATTAACCAGTGACTGCCTTCATCGCTTTCTATCTTTGAAATGCTGTCTAATAGAATTTTGATACTCATTCTATGATATTCTAGCAACGTTTATACTATATTGCATATATTTCTCGGTTTAAATGAGTATCCGAATAATATTCTTCTCGAAAGACGTTTGGATCTATTCGCTGTTTTTTTTTATACATCGATGTTAGTGATGCCAACATTCACTATGATTACAGTTGTGAATCATTCCATAGTGTCTCGCAACAATCAGCGTCTCTGGAACAAACCGAAAACGACAAATAAATTTGTCAACGTCAATAATCGTTAGTTACATCTGATATAGTAGAAAAATATTAACGGTTGAAATATCAATTAAAATAAAGTTTGGAACAGTTTCAATTTATACATACGCATATCACAAATGAGAATATTCCCAGGCGAGATACGATGTTAAAACAGAGGCACTTAAAAATTTAAGAAAATTGTTTCAACCCTAACGAGAACTTCCAACGAATTCAACGCCTTGTTTATGCCGAAGGTGCTCGCCTCGAATATTCGAACGATAAATTGGAGTAAATTCAACCTTGTTAAAGCACTTAGTCAATTGTTATTTGCGAATATCAACACTGATCGACCTGATATGTGACGATTATTCAATCGTCTAATGCTCATGTTACGTCAGTGATTCTTTCGAATTCGAATTTGCTGAGCAATAAAGATTATTTTGGTGATGATGGTCATCGGACTTACTATTTTTCGTATTATATTCGATCTATTGAATACGATACGTTTATTTTCAAAGTCAGTCAATTAAGTGTCTTCGACAAGAGATTTTTTTTCGATCTATGAAATACTATTATTTTGATCGAAGTCATTGTTAATCATGAAATATTCATTCAAACAAGTCAAAGGAAAATATTGAAAAATGTACTCGATGAATATAGTCGAAAAAGACAGTTCTATGTAGCAAACACTCTGGTAGAATATTTTGACAAAATCTAAATGATTTGATCAAGAACAATCGATTCAATATGACTCTAATGATATAATGGTATAATAGGCTTATACAGTCTTTTTTTTCATCGGTCATTAAATATTCAAAAAAAATTTTGATGTTATGACAAGAAATTGAATATGAAGACAAATATTTCAATGACTTCTAAATGAGGAACCATTTTAAACATGATTGACAGGTGCAACTCTGTTATTTAACTTGCTACAGAAAAAAGAATATAAATTCATTAAAAAAATTATTGTCATTATCATCATGGTTCCTTCATTAAATTGATAAGGGTGACAATGATCCATTAGTTTACGTCTGTCTCGAAGTGAATGTCGGTCGACATGTATTTGTGGAATTTTTAATCGAGATTGAGTGCGATTTACAAAGAAGAAATTCCAAAGGTGATAGTTTTATTGATCTAGTTATTACAGTTGGGGAGAAATTGAAAACTAGTGAAGAAGTTGATCAAAACAGAAACTGTTTGCATTGATGATATTTCTGGCGAGATATCGCTACAACCAATACCGAAGTATTCTATCTTATAAAAAAATGGCTTGTGTGCTAATCACAAATATGAAAAGTATTCGAAGTTTAATTTCGAAACTACAGTATATTGCTTCTTTCGATTAATTATGTTTTTCTTATAGTGCATGGAAAGCAAATACTGTCAACAACAACAACATGTCTATCTCTTTATCTCAAGTTGAGATGCCTTATACTCCCCATGTTGCTCTTGACCATATCAATTAGCAAAGGTTATTCTATATCTCTTGTTCTATTCCCATGGAAATAGCTCTCATTCTTGATATGTATACACACATTCTGCGATTTTTTAAAAATCTATTATCTTTATTTCAGATCCTAGTATGTATTAGTGACGATTGCTGACTCTTCTATTGACACACCTCATTCCTCATCACTAAACAGTGCATTGTTAAAATACATACCAATCAGTTTGTCGATGGAAATTCAAGATCCGTCTTTTAGCCAACTTTTGAGTTTATACTGTTGGAAAGAGATTCCTAATTGTCCTGGACGATATCTATTAGCTAAAGAAGATAATCAACATCTTAGACTGGTTTCACCGGATGCATTTTTAAATGTTCAAGTACCTATAGAAAAATTTACTAGTGAAATGTGCCGAGATCGAATACATATTGGGAAATTGTCGGATGGTGGACTGTTATCATATGAAAAATCTGATGGTACATTTGTTCATACTTTAAACAATCCTTCTGGTCTGAAAAGAAAGATGAATCATTTGAATATTCATTTTTGTGACAACAATATAGACAAATAATGTTTTTGAAAATTATTATTTTTAAATGCTTTGCGCATTTTTTTCTGTTCTGAATAAACAAACATGATCTTGTTTTTCCTTGTTATTGTTTAAGTCTTCAGTTCGACATATGTTTGATTTGCATGTATTGATGGTTTGCCCATTCTCACCAACGAAACCGGTTGTAGCAAGTTCTTTATATTACTCAC